CAATACACAATTTATGTTCAAGAAAGCTTAGATTAATTTCTTATTTTATTTGTAGTTCACAAAAATGTAAGAGGTGTGAACATCTTGAAGTGGAATTCAATAAAGAGAGAAACCAGTGGTTGCAACTGATTGAAGAAAAAGAGCACAAAATATGTACATTAGGTAATTTTAATTTTAGTTAGACACTTTTCAATATAGCTAAAATGTGGCCATCTTGTGAAAGCCCATTGTCAAGAGGTTCCAAAATACAATGTATATAAAGATGTCAAAACATTCTTACACCCTCTTGTGCTAATTCTGTTTACCACGTGACCAAGTAATTTATAAAAACATTTATTATGCTCAAAAATATACATTTGTCCGCGTACATGTAATCAAATCACTGTGCTGTGCTGACAAAATAACGTGCCAAGCATGAACTTAAACCTTCCCTGAGCGTGATTCAACATGTTGTATCCTACAAAATTCACTTGGAAAATCAATCAGTATTTATAGACAATGATATGCACACTGGGTATTGTCCCAATCTACCAATCAAAAGTCTCCATACAGAGTTGCATTTCAATCAGATCATCATGGTCTTCTCACTAATATATATATGCATATACATTTAATCAGGTCATGCGCTGGGCTTCCCATGTGCTGCGCTCTTGAAGGCGACATCTTCTATAAATGTTACTTGAAGTTCGGTTAACTGTTAATTAAAGTTCAAGTTACCAAATGTCGTCAACAAAAATGTATGTAGCCCTATAACTTGAAGTGTAGTTAACTGTAAATTGGTCGAGTTACAATTTGGGTGTGGTTTCTCAAAAGTAGGCGTGGTATATAAATTCAGGGCTCATACCACTCATTGAAACTCCATAGACGACAATGTTAACATATGACGAGATTGCTATATGGAAATGATAAACAAAGTTGAAAACATGGCTCAAAAATGGAAAATCAATAGGCCAGTAATCAACCACATGAAAAAAACTAACATGTTGGCCAGCTCAAACTCTTGCAAATCTCAGGTAAACAAGACACGCCTACTTTTTTTGAATTGCACCTAGAGAAATCACTGGAAAAACACCAAGATTAGAACATCCAAATATACACAGAATAAACCCACAAGTACACAGCCGCTAAGTAATAAACAAAAGACCACATGTTAGTCTCACCTTTGACCCAGGGGATCACTCCCTCAAACAGGGAGCACCTGAGAACAAAAATATTTAAAAAATTTCATTGGTTCTTACAAGGCATTTAAATTGAGACCAAAAATAGGATCATGGCCATTTTTGTAATTTGATGTTTTTGTAACTCAATATCTGTAACTTGAACAATTCAGCATCTTCATCTTGTGACTTTTTCACAATCATTTAAAAGTTAAAGTGTATAAATCTTATTAAACTATCAAGTGATATATTTTGTTCTACAGAAACAAAGGCTCAAAACTTGGAAAAGAAAACCAATGATCACGATACAAATGTGATGAAAACTTCACCTGTAGGTATGAGTGATGAAGAAAGTCAGACATTTGGTAGAATAAATAAACCTGTCCATAATAAGTTGTCAATGAATAAAGACAGAAAAAAAGTGAGATATGAAGAGTCTAAGAAAATTTCTCCAGATGGAAGATTGTTGGAAGGACGAAACATAGAGATCAATAAATATGATGGTAAGGGAAAGATGGGTAATTTTAAGATTAAGCAGGAATGTTTGGACTCTTCAGAGAGATCACAGTTGTGTTTAAACAATAGAGGGATTGTGTCAGTGCCAGACTCTTGTGAACCAGATACGTGTACAGGATGGACCCAAGAAATGAAATATTTGCCACGGAAACTGGACATTCAAGACACCCAGGATGTAAGAGGAATAAGAAAACCATCAGCTAGGATTCTTGTTACGGATACCTGTTACCAGGACACCATGTCAATGAGTCCGGTAATTGCAGGTAATCTGGAACTGAGTAAGGGTCGCAGAGTTAAGTTGAGAAGAGATCGATTTGATGATTTGAGAGATGGACTGCAGTTGGCTGCAGTACCAGAAACACTTGATGTCAATATTGATAGTCCAGAGCCATTAAGTTTGTTGATATGTTCACCGACATCAACGAGCACACCAGCTGTTGAACGTTGTAGAGTTTCAATGGAGCATGATAAGACTAGTCTCTTAAAGAGGGTTGTTGAAAAGTTAAGTAGATCTGACAACAGAAAGTCAAGTGACTTGGAACATTTAAACATGCTAACACCAATTCAACTGAATGAATCACAAAATATTGCCGCACGTTTACCATCATCAATGTTTACAGCTGAAAAGCTTCAAAATCCTGAATGTGAAATTGTGCAAAGGCTACAGTTTGATGAAGTACCTGGAAATAACGATTATACAGTAGTAACACAACGCGACTCCAGATTATCTTTCCTTGGTAACGATGAAAGTCATCCCTCTCCACTTTTGTTAAAACCATTGGTGCCAAGACATCACAATAATGGTAAGTTTAATCTTTCCTCTGATGTAAGCGAACATTCTAGTCCAACAAAGAAGTCACAGTCACCACCTGGAAAAGAAAATTCTCCTATCCCAAAAGAAAAATTCTCACAAGAGAAATGGGTGCAAAATCCAAAGAAGAGGCAGTTGCAATGGGAACATGATGCAATAGACACTGATGAAACATGTGTAACTGAACCTGCTCAGAAATATTCAAAGGGGAGTGAAGATCAAGACTGTTTTTGTGATGATGAAACTGAGAGAATGACAAGAAATAAAATAAAGAGAAAGAATGGCTTATGTGACACTAAAAAGAAAAGAACATCAAGAAAAAAAACAGCTAAACTTGTACAAAGCACTCTTACACAAACATTTGGTGGAGATATCAACAAAATGAATAATGATGTTGCCATGGATATGCACTTTGAGGATAAGACATTTAAAGATAAGTTCACTGCAAGTAATATTGAATTTAAAAAACCTGTCTCGCCAAGGATTGTTAACAAAAAAACTGATACTAAAGCAGTCTGTGGTACTAACATGGAGATGAACTCAGATGAGAATTTTACCATGCCTTGTGTTATGAATGGAAGTCTAGATCCGGCTCTTCAACTGTCAGAACTGGAAGAAGATTCTGATTTACTACTTCAAGGCTGTAAGAGTCCAACATTTGATAAGAGTAATTGCAAAGGAAGAATATTCCTGGGAGACATTGAATCAGAAAGTCTTCTTTGCAGCAAACTTGCAAACTGCAGTGAAAGTTTAAAATTTGGTGCAGTTGACAATAATCATCTCAGAGGATGTGATGCAGAGGATACTGATATGACATACATAACACAGAAAACTGGTGTACATGATGGCCTCGCACATTCCAAGAAAAATAAAAAGGAAAAGACAAATTTGTCGAAAGAAAGTACTGCTGATGACAGTTGTGCTGATATGTTTGGTAGCAGTCATGACAACAATGGTGAAAAGAATGATGTTACTGGTAAGTCCTAGTTTTATAGCTCAGTGAATCTTTCTAAAACAAAACACAAGAAGTGACAACAACACACAATTGGGCAACTTATGGACATGTTTAATTTCACCACAGATATATTCAAACAAGTTATTATGATAACTATGATTCATCTTTTGTCATCTTTTACAAAACAAACCCACATTATTTTTTCCATATTATTTTCAAAAATTGTAATTGACAGTAGCAAAATGGGAAATTATGTCTATGGGTGTAATATTATGCCAAAGTATTCTTAAGCTTAAATCTCTAACATCCTTGTTCACACTGTTATAGAATATTTTCACTAATAACTTCATGTTGACATCTAAAAACATGTGTAATAGCCAAGGTCAAGCAGTTCTGAAAAGGTCTAATTACACTAGGATTTGGAAAGCTGGATGTTACCGTTAAAGAGAATTGACTGATGGCTGAATTATTCACATGTACCCAGAGATAAACTTTTAAATGACTTTGATAAAATATATTTGTGAATAGCATAAAAGAGAGAACAGTCAGCTAAGCTGAATACAGTAAGACTGGAACGTGGGTGGGCATGTGATCTTGTACAGTCTATATGAAAAAAAGATATTGTGTTTAGTTCCACATTGCAATGCACAGTACAGATGGGAGTCCTCAATCACAGGCAAAGTTCCCGCTTGTAGGTAGAACCCATGAAACTCCACTCTGGTGAATCTTTAAGGTACAGGTACAATTTGGGATATAGTACTTCAGGTTACACTTCATGGACATACCCCGATTGGTCACTGCCTCCCTTGGTTCAATGATAAAGACCTGCAGTTGAGTCTCAGAATATATACAACATAGAATATGTGTGCAAATTCAGCGCAATGTTGTTGTTTTTTCAAATAGCTGTTCACTTACTGATAATTAACTTTAATGGGTTCTTCAGGAATGCTGGTGTATCAATATTTCATTTGAATATTCATCCTGTGTTTCTATGTAAAGTTTCTTAACTACTGTTTTCATACATTGTACATGCTATGTTGAGTTACCAGTTCATCCAGAATAGTCCAATATTTTTCAGATGTTTACAACAATGACGATAGTCACCACAACTATGACAACCAAAGCTTGGAGACAAGTTTTGACAGGTATGTGTTTTGGTCATGATTTTTTACTCAAACAAATGGCAATATGTATTAACAATAACTAACAAAACATTGCACTGTGTGTGCAAGCAAATTATCCAAATCAGAAAATGAAAAAAAAAAAAAGAAAATTTTCTTCACCTCGAAAGCAGACTTCGGCCAAGGAGCTTCTTCTGCTTTCATTGCAGTTTTGTCGACTTCAATGCGGACAAAGCAACCAAACTGACTTGTCGCCTGACCAATTTTTAGGCCACCATACACCTCCACTCCTCTCCCATTTCTCTCATCATTGCAGAAGAAATGCGGGACAGCCACTCTGGACAATATGTCCTTAAAGTTGTCTGGACGAAACTCGCTTGCCGCTACCAATCTCTCGTATAGCTCTGTAAACTTTACATCTTCCTGGCCGACGTCAATTGCGTACCAGTCTACAACAATCCCTCCGTTTTTCCTCTGAACTTTTATGCTCCAGTAGTTTGGTGGCGTGGTCGCCATGTTGGAATCATTTAGACAAAATTGGCACGTTTTGAGGTAGTCCAAAACAAGTTTTATGACAAGCCGGCGCTTTGTGA